AGTAAACCAAAGAACTGGAATCAGTTTGGAAGCCTCCCCCCCCCCCCACCAACTCTTCACCCTCTTTGCCTGGTGTCCCACTATCTGAGTAACTAGTTTTTAAAACAGTTATTGAGCGTTATGTGTTGGTTTCCACAGGGAAGTTGTTCTCTACCTTTGATTTTCATTCTTTCTTTGATACTAACAGAATCCTGTTCAACTAACTGTGAAGCGTAATTCTTTTCCTCTTAATTGTTGTTACCTATTGAAAAAACAATTAATGCAATAAATGGTCATTGAATACTTGCCCCATGAAAGAGGTTATGTTAGGGGTGTGAGAGTTGGAAGGATGAATAAGGACTAGTATATCCATTCAGTAAGTAAGAGCAAGGACACCGAAGTCAGAAAAACCACACTGTAAATTCTAGTTTTCCTGTACAGTAGCTGTGTGACCTTGATGAGTTACTACATCTTTCTAAGTTACAATTTTCTGTTCCATAAAAGGAGTTTAGCAATAGTGACTGCTTCTCAAGATTGTCATTGTAAAAGCACTTAATTCACTGTTTGGCTTAGAGTCAGTGATCAACACATATGGCTGATTTATAATAGTAAATCTTCAAAGCTGATGAAAGTGTACAGAGACTGATAGGAAGCCAAGAAACAGAACTAGGTGGATATTGGAAAGTAGAAAAATGCACAAACCATAAAACTATAGCAAAAGGAGAATAAACTGTCCTGGATAAACACTTTTCTTCTTCATATTCTTGACCAGCTATGCCACACTCAAGAATTTCCTGAGCTATTGTAATTTTACCTCAAACCTTGAACAAAGTATGGTTTGAATCCAGAAGCAAGCTGTTTGATGATTCCTTAGAAACTAGCGGAAATATCTGTACGTTGGTTCATCCAAGACGAGCAAGTTTTGTATTGAAGAAGATTATTAAATCTAATCATTTGAAAAGACATTCTACCATATTAAGAATTCTTCACTTAATAAGCATACATGTAAATGACACTGCTTGGGTGAATTGGAGGAGCAAGAACTGGCTAACTTCTTAAGAAATTTACTCCCTTATTTCTTCTTTTCCCGATCTTCAGCCTCTATAACCAACAAGAGCAGGGGTAACAGAAACTCCCAAATACAGGTTACCACTTTGTCATTTCACTTTTTTCTCAAAATGTTGTATCTGTAACAAAGTACTTCAACAAGAGTTAAAATAATGTCAGTCACAATCTTACCAATTTATGTTGCCCAATCAGTATCTTCATAATTAGGCTACATCAAGAGAAATATTTCCTTGTGTGAATATTAACAAATTATCCTCAAACTACAAAAAAAGCATTCAAAGACTGTTGTACTTTGGCAGAAACCCTGTTCAGTTTCCAGATTTATACAATGCAGATATTTTAAATTTTATAGCTTCTCATTCCAGCAGAGTACATTCTTTGTTTGCTAGTAGGCATTTGTCCATTCCTAACCTTCTTACTTTCAGAAAATAAATGACACATGTGACTTGAAAATTGAATCCATCTTGACTGAGAATGAAATAATAAAAATAGCTAATGTCTTTATCATCTCCTTAGCAAGCCTACAAGGCACAAGACTATTGCTGTCTCTATTTTGTAAGATGCATTATATCTTGCTAATCCTCAATAAATATGAAAAAGTTGTCATTTCACAGCTAAGAATTGACAAACCAGAACACATTTCTCATTTGAATAGACAAGATAAGCAGGTTGCCACCAGCACTGCCATCTCTGCCTTGGGGTGTGCTGTGTCCCAGGCAGACACTGTTGGTTCATTCTTAGGTCACAGCTATCTCATTTCTATTTATCTATTTCTGGAACAGGGCTCAGATTCACATTCCGGACTGCCTCCCATCTTAGGGACCATTCTGCAACCTACCTTCCCTGACATAATTTAAAGAAACGAGCATACCGCACCCCCCTCCCCAATTAAACCATACCAGATGTAAATTTCTTGCCTGGAGAGTGAATTGAGAAATGAATGGGATTCATGAATATAAATTGAACTTTCCTTACATTTAGGTTTTCATCTTGAAATTGGAGAGTATTTGCTCCCCACATAAATCCTTATTTGCCTTAAGTGTGTTTACTGTGGGACCCCAGTGCGGAGCTGGTAGTCCATTGCTATGCATAACTGAATATTAAAGCTCAGAAATCATCAGGCAGAGGAGGCCGCAGAGGGAGACACTGCAGTGCAGCTGAGTCTGGGTTCACAGAGAGGAATCCTGCTCTTCTGGGCTCTCTGTCTTTATTGGGAGGGGGCCACCCAATCTCCTGGCTTTTTGTCTCCTTGAATGTTATTGGATGTTTGCTTCCTCTTCTTCCCAAGATGCTCTGATTGTATGATTGTCTTAACATCTCTATTATTTTCTCCTCACTGCCATTCTGGTATAGAGGCTGTGTAATAAATCAATCTCTTATTTTTCACCTCAGTTTACTTTTGAATGAAAGGACTCCGAGAAAGGATGTAAGGGTTCATTAAGCAAATACATAAATAATTTTGAGACATTGGGGCACCCCAGTTTCTGTTTCCTCTCTTGTCCTCTGTTCTCCTTTCCTCTTATCTCTTCGTTTGCTGAGTGGTTGTGTGTATTTTGCAAAAGATCCATTGAGGTCAACTGGGTCTTCACTATATTGTCACATGCAAGCCAAAAATAGTGAGATGTTTCTTTCATTTTTCAACCTGTACTTTGACTCTTTTGCCAGATATGAGACTCTATGATAGTCACAATGTCGTGCACTTGACAGTGAGTTCACGTTGCTTGCTGTTTGCTATAGGGTTAAGTGGAAAGGTAGATTGTTGGTCATAAGTTTTAACCATACCAAGCTGTGAATATATATATATATATATATATATATATATATATATATATATATATAAAATCACCCATGCTACAAAGCACTTGATGTGGTTTAGAACAATGTCATAATGAAATGGCAAAATAGCCTCATATTTTTTTCAGGGCATTTGGCTATTTGAAATAGAAAGGAAGATTTAGAATAAGAACCAATGAATTAACCAATTAACATTAATTTTGCAATCCATGTTTAAAGAATTTTTTCTCAAGTACCTCTGCATATGAGGGCTTCTAAGAGGTAGTTATGGCCTTAGTTGCATTTTTTTCCCAGAGTCTACTGATTTTTTTCTTTACTGTATAAACTGTAAACACTTTAGTTATATAGCACATTGGGTTGATACAATTAGACTTAAATAGGGTGCTAAGCTTTGACTGTGTACTATGGTCAAAATGGAGCTAGAGGGAAGTTGGCCATTATCCTTAACCATACTATAGTACAAGGGTTTAAAATAATTCAGTAAGTCAAAACCTTTGTGAGAATGAATTCGGGTAATTAATGGTAATGTGAGATAAGGGGACACATAATGAAGGACAAAGGGTAAATCAAAGTGACGACTAGTTCTACCTCCCCATTGTAAATACAGACAAGATGTCCCCAAGTGTTGCCTTTCACGTCTTCCATACTTCCATACAGGTCTTCCAATACAACCAGCCAGTCCCTAAGTTTTCCCTTTCAGGTATTCCATACTTAGGATACTGTGTTTCTAGCTCATTTGGTGGATTGAACCAGTCTCCTAATTCACTAACTACTTGCAAGCCATGTTTCCACAATATTTCTGGAAGGAATAAAAATATATATTTTATATAACAAAGAAGAACAAAGTATTTTTTTCCTGTAAAGACTCTAATTTTATCCTGTTTTAATATTAAGTTAAGGTCCTCACATGAATTCAACATGTTATTTATTAATGTTGTATATTGCTTAGGTATTTTTTAACCTTGTGTTTCATTTTTAGAATCTGGTTGTAAAACTTAGCCCAATGTTGGTGTTAAAAAAAAAAAAATTCTAGGATTGTAAGGATTCTCCTCTCTCAGAGGACTGTGTTAAGACAGCAGCTGTACTTATTCTCAATTATGCAGTATGGTGAATATTATAAGCTCTGGAAGCAAGACGAAGAGACCCTATTCTAATATCTCTATCACCATGTCATTTTTACCTAAATCATAACTATCTTCCCAATATCTATAAACATACTTCACAGTTTCTGTAGATGAGAAGAAAAGAACTTGCCTCGAACACACAAGACGCTGAGTTCAATCTGCAGCACAACCAAAAAAGAAAAATGCATTTAAAACCACTCTGCAGCAATTAAAATAACTGAAACAAATCAATTCCAGTCCACTTTGAAAAGAAAGAAAAGAAAATTAATCACTGACCCACCCAGAAGGATACAAGCAGAAATTCTAAAGTGTTTTATTCTACATTATTAATGTAATTAGTACTTGGTCACTTATTGAGTATGTTTGACCAGAATTTTCTTCGAGGAGCTGGTGGTGAAGCAAAATGAAAGCATGGCACACCTTTTACCTTCTGTTGCCCTTTTGTCTAAGGCAGTGGATATTTATTTACTCAGGATGGCAAGGTCATTCCATTCACTAAGACATGGAAAAACACAAGTGATCCAGAGTTAATAGGCTATTTGACAGTCTCTGTGTGAAATGAGATAATTACAGGAAAGTGGGATAGTAGGGGAATGAGTAAATTTAATTAAAAAAAAACACTTGATAAACTGTGAATTTTCCAAATGTCATTGAAAACCAAACATATATATATATATATATATATATATATATATATATATATATATATATGAGAAATGTAATTTATAGCAGCCAACTTATGTCAAGAGACCTCCGTCCTTTTGTCATGAGGAATTTACCTTCATCCCATGTACTCATGGGCTCATTCTGCATAACTATCAAAATGTCAGCAAACTTTTTGGATCTGTAATCTTGTCTACTCTTCAATGTAAAAAAAAATTAATTAAGGAAATTAACATCTGGATAATACATTCACGATAACAGAGATTGAGATGCTGAAGATGGCCTTGTGAATGAGTGTTCTTATTCCTTGGAACCTCGAGGTGTTCTTCCTGGCACCACCAGTTCAAAAGCTCACTTTTCTTTTCCTCACAGGTTATCAGCCAGTCTTGTCTGGACAGCAGGGATTCCAAGGCCTTATAGGAGTGCAACAACCACCACAGAGTCAGAGCGTGATGAGCAGCCAACAAGGAACTCCGGTGCAAAGCGTAATGGTCTCCTACCCAACCATGTCTTCTTATCAGGTGCACACCAGCTGTTTGGAAAACTGTGGATTACAAAGTAGTACTGGGCCAAAGTAGAAGCTGTGTGTACTTTCCTGTTTTGGGTAATTAGCTGGGTGGTAGGTGCTTGGCCTACTACTGTTGTTAGTTGACTTTGAATCAAGATTATAAAAGGCAAGTTGAAAATAGGAAACCTATTTCTGTAATGGCAGGAATTTTGAATGCCCTGCTAAATTTGTTTCCATATTAACTTCCATTTCACGGAAGAAAATTCATTTAAGTTCTATTTGTGAAGACTTTGGGGCATTTTATTGAAATTTTACTTATTGGTAGAAAGTCCTCATGATGGATTTCCATTTTCGTATTTATTTTAAGAAATTTTATTTTACAATAATCTTAAGCTATGAGAGATTTTTAAATGATATCTCAGATTTACTTAAAGGGCACTTATGGGTTTAACAACTGCATTATACAGACTAAACCCAATTGTGTATTTCAAATGGGTTATGTACCCTATTGTGATTTATATCTTGAAATACACTGGAAATAGAAATTTGTATCCTGAAAAACACAGGAAAAAGTTAGTGCAATGCTTTAATCATTAAATTTAGCTGTACCCGTTTCTTCTGGTTCCATGGAACCTACCTTAGCCTATCAGGTACAAAGTCCCACTTATTATGGGAGACTCCATAAACTAAAGATATGCATGGCTTTCCAAGCTGAGAGATGTCCAGCATGAGAGATTCAGACTGTAGTACCAGGAGAACATCAACAAAGGAGGGAAGGAAGCTCAGAGCTAACACCCTATGAGCATCTACTGCATGCCAGACATTCTGTACCATTCCTGCAGTCCTTCAGTGGCTCTTTAAAGTAGGTATCCTTATCCAGTTGGATTAGGGAATCAGAGAAAATAAATTAATTTCCCCAAGTGAAATAGCTGGTAAATGGCAGAAGCTGGATCAGTGACTTGTAAAGTCTAACTCAAAAGCTTGAGTAAGTTTCATGACACCATCTTACTCATTGACACATCAGAATAGCCTCTTCACATATGTTTCTTACTTGTGTCTTTCTCCAGGTGCCAATGACGCAAGGTTCTCAAGGACTGCCCCAGCAGTCCTACCAACAGCCAATCATGCTACCTAACCAGGCAGCTCAAGGGTCACTCCCGGCCACTGGAATGCCTGTTTACTGTAACGTTACACCGCCAAACCCTCAGAACAACCTTAGGCTGATTGGTCCACACTGCCCCTCCAGCACTGTCCCTGTGATGTCGGCCAGCTGCAGGACAAATTGTGCAAGTATGAGCAATGCCGGTTGGCAGGTCAAATTTTGAGAGTTCTGGCTGTGGTTTATTTCATCAGCTATTACTCATGGCCTTTAAGGGAAGAGGAGCAAGTTGGGAAGACTGGCTGAGGACTTAAGTATTCACTCAACACTCAAAAGATTGCTGCTGGTATTCTGTAAAAAATAAACAAAGACTAATACACACGTTAGCTGGTTAATGGTGCATATTTCTGTCATGTCTGCTAGGTATGCCTTTATAGCTTAGCTAGTGACATGAATTCATCGAGGTAAGATTTTCTCCTACCACTGAACACCACTGTGTAGATTATAATATCCCTCATTTGGATTAGTTTTGTACTTTGTGTTGAGTTTGTGATGCTAAAAGTATTTAAAAATTATATACTGAATCACATTGTACCAAAGCTGTAATGGAAAAGAAAAGAAGAATTGATGAATGGAAGGAATAATTTATATACATTATAGAGTTTTCTTTTTTTAATGCATATATACTGTATTGTAGTGTTTAATCAAAATAAAACTATTTGACCTTATGGAGTAAGGTCATGTTTTTACCACCAGTTTGATCCACTCTCTCTTTCAATATGTGTTTTTGATGTGTTGCTGTTATTCTCTTCAAAGACAATTTTATGAAAAGTACATGAACAAAAACATGTTCTAGGCATTTGCAGCTGAACTAGCATCACATTAGGTGGTGTTATAGGCAAACACTCAACCAACAGCAGTTTCTTGTCATAATACTATAGGGATCCTAAAGATAAGATTCATTCTTCAAGGTCACATTTTGAAGTATGTAACTTTCAAATGGTATTATAGCGCCATTGAATGTATGTAGCCAAACTTCACCAACTAGGAAACTCAGTGTCATTGGTAAGAGCGGCCCTGTAACAAGCCTTGTCTCCCTTCACTGGAGTTCTACCATGTACCTGGAAAATAAAATACCTTTGCTTAGGTGAAAATGAGAAGACACGCAGTCTATTTCCATCAGTTACATTGGACCATACAATGGAAAGTACCCCTGGTTTTGACAGTGAGCCAGTAACTCAAAAATGCTCATATTTGCCCCAGTACCAAGATCAAAACAGCAATGATTTACTCATAAAGATCTAGAACACTAGTGAAGACATTTAGAAGAAGGCTGTGGCTATCTGCTCCCAACCAGTTTAATTTCTTATAGATTCTTCAGGTAAAACTGAGTTATGATGACCTCTGAAAAGTTGTAACAGAACTCTGAACCTTCTGAAAGATACTTAATTGGGAAATAAAACCTCACAGCTCTCACTTTACTCTCATAGCACAACGATTGACAGCTTTGTGTTTTATACTCCCTGCCCAGAGACCACTGTGACCAACAGCTGTGCACATCTGGAAAGTACATCTGGAAAATTCACATTGTTTTGTGTATTATCACACTCTCCATGTTAGATTTGCCATTTTCATGTTGTTTAGCTGTGTGGGGAGGCAAGCAGTTTAAAACTCTACTTAACAGATTCCCATCCCTTAATTTCATAGTATCATTTTCTTTTTTCCTTTAAAAGGGAACTTTTACAAATAATCGAATTACCTTCATTCCTTATAAAATTTGTCCCATTTTTCAAAATCTCAGTCTATTTATTTATTCATCATAAATCTGATCATGAAAAGTGTTATTAAAAAAGGATGTTCTGTTTTTTTTAATTGAGCCATTAAACCAAGAGTTGACCTGAGGAAGGACAGTATGTTTGCACAAATATAATCTTCCCCTAATGGAAAGAGGGGTTTGGCTAACATGGATCATATATTCTCTTTTTGGCTTTCTGATCTTGGCTCTGATCTCAAACTCAATGATCCAAATATGAGATTGAATATTTAGCTCTTTTTTGAATATTTATCTCCTCTCAATGAAATTCTGAGAAATTTTTGTCATTTTCTTTAATAATCCTTAGAATTTTGAGCTTTCTTTTTGATGGAAACAAACAAAAAAGTCAGGGCTTATTTACTTATTTATTTTTTGACCACTCTATCCCATGTGTGGTAATCTTTTATATTTAGACATTTAATATTGCTATAAGTCCATTTGAATACTATTTTTGAACAGTCTTTCTTCCCTATTTTCAATAAATATTTACTTCTAATATTATGATATTCCAAATACTCCATTATTCCTTCAGTTATTTCCCATTAGAATATCTGAGGTGACTGTAGAAACATAAGTGTATTTGTAAAGCATTTTCAAACTTTATTCTTTAGAAAGCATTCAATTATTTTCTTTTTGGCTAATAATTTTATCACATCATATTTTGAATTACAGATTATTCAGTTTATAATCTAATAGGTATATGGGTACTTAGATATATGAATACATAAATAGTTCCAGTTATCTCAATGATCTATAACTTCTACAGGAATATAAAAGAATGTTTTATGCATTCACTTATTCAGCAAAATGTCATTATATAGTAGATTATATCCTGATTATGTGGCACCATTCAAAACAAGGGTACAACTACATTTAAAACACTTAGATTTATTCTTGTAAACTTTCTCTTGGATACTCATTAATAGTTGGAACTAAATATTCTAACTAGGATGCCAATGAATTTAAGCTATGATCATGTTATTATTTTAAAATATTCCCATAGGGTGTGGGGTGGCCAAGACAGAATGTTACCCAGCTGTATAGAAATAAGTTGATGTCATTAATTATAAACATAGTTGGAAGAGTCAAATGAACAAAGTTGCAGGTCTACCTTCACCTGTGCCCCAGCACTTAGATCTCGGGCACCTAGATCAGTTATGAACCAAAAACAAAATATTGTAAATACCTCAACCTAAAAGTTGTAATTAAAGTGGATCTTTTGGGTTTGGTAGCCCAAGGATCACTTTATTTACAAATATTTTGTTTAAATATAGAATTTCTATTTTCTAAAATATTTTTCATGGAAGATTCTTTCATTGGGATATTTATCATTATAATATGAAGCAGACAATTCAAAGAGCAATTATAATTGAGAGACAGGGTTAATCAAGGTTAAACGATCTTTTTAAAAGCTATCTGGTTTCTGGAAACCTTTAATATATCACTTAATAGCATGAATTTCCAAAAAGGAGACATAATTGGCATAGTTTCTCAAAGTTATTAGAATAAAATATCCTTTGTTCACAGAATAAATTTAAAGCCTAATATGGTAAGGAACATTTCTTTAAAATTACAGCAGAAAATCCTAAACTAGTAGTACAGATTTAGTTTTTATTTTAAATTCAACAGTAACAGTGTTCTATATCAGAATGCAATGCCACAACACCACTTCTGGCTAGATCACTTTTTGGCAACTGCTCTATTATGCACTATTTCAGTATTTTCTCCATGGATATCTGAAGCTGAAGGGAATTGTCATAGTTCTAGGCTTTCTGTATCTTTATTTTTTAATTTTTAGTATTGAAGAACTTGATGCATCCTATTATATAGTCATACAGGTATAAAGTGTATGGACATAGTTGTCTCTAATGACTCTAACACTCCATGTGAATGTTGAAGGAAACAAGAGTGATTTATTCATTAATTTGTTCAGTATGCTTTTATTGCATACTTAACTAATTTCAAGACTTTGAATCACAGTCTATGGAGTCTTTACTTTTAAGAAGCTCAGAAATTTTCAGGATAAATTATGTCAGTATATAAAAAGTAATTTAAAAGTTAGTCTAGGTCTCATCTGAAAAATAGCACAAAAGTAGGATTTGAGAGAAGGAAAAGATGTTTTCTGGATACAGTTTTATGAAGCTTTTGTTCTGCACCATGTGGAAAGATGGAATTGGGGCATGCAGAGATGGGTAGTCATGAGTGGGTCATAACCCTGACTAGAAAAAAATGCCTAAAATAAAAAGAAATAAATGCAGAAAAAAATCAAAATACAATACAAGAGAGTTGGATAGGAGGTGACTAGCTAGAATAAAGCTATGAGTCCTAAAAACCTCACAGTAACCCTGGTTAGCATGGATTTGAATGCCTGGCGGAGCTAAGAAGCAAGGAGTGGCTTATGAAAACTTTTGAACACAGGGTAATGTGATCACAGCTATGGCTCATAAAGAAGTGTATGCTTCAAAAAGTAGGATGGATTAGACTTGGAAAGGCTCTTTATTAAAATACTAGAGATGAACACAATAATAATTAAGATTTTCCAGTGAGCTATAGCTATAATTAACATTATTGGGATAAATCAGAAATGAGTTCTAGCTCTAGACTTTGCACATAGAAAAGCTTTAGAGATGCTTATCTTATTTTTCTCTCTTGGACATAACGTTTTGCATCAGAGCAAAAGCCCTATCTTAAGCTGCATCACAAAGCACAATAAGTAAAATCTCTCAGGGTAAAATAAGACAGCTGAATTTAGACACAGCAGGGGAGGCTGCCAAGGCTCCATCACAATGTATTTAGTATCGATATACAACATGCAATGAGAACTGATATCAACTCCCCATTCCCCCTTGTTAAAAAAAAATGTGATAACACTTCTGTGTTACCACTTAATTTTTTTTTTCCTGGATTCTTATGGATGCCACTGCTTCCACACAATTTGAGAACTATTTGCTTCTTCCCAGGCTATTGGATCTAAACTCCTCTTTACGTAGAAAGGTTGTTTTCTCTAGATGTTTCCCATTATTTCCCAATAGTTCTCAGCTTCAGTGTTTATTCCAAGTTCAAAAATTTTTATTTTTGCAGCCTCCAATCTTCCTTCTAAAAAGATTTGCTGCTATCAAATGTCATCAGGGGCAAAAGATTCTTAACTTTTGGAGTTGGGTACTTGCTATTCTCAGCGCTGCGTTCACAGAAGAGGTGAGAGGCACCTGAAACTCTTCTTCTGCAGAGGAAAGTCACCTCTTGATCAGTATCCTAACTGGGAACTGATTCTTCTACTGGGCATGATGAGGCTTCCCCTAAAGATTAGCCATCTCCCTGTGAGCAGAAACCCCCGGAATGCTTTGATATTTGTATTTGTCATTTGGTTCATTTTACTGTGTTAGTCTATTTGGAATGGAAGAGAGAAGAGGTCACACACTAAACAAACTGAGGGAGATTTAAATCTGAATAAGGTTGAGTGCCCATCAGAATCCGATGGAAAGCCAAGGATGGAGGTCTAATGAAAGTTCATGATGGTGCTGTGCAGATGATACCCAGCCCAAGCCCAATTTGGCTAGAGAGCACCCTATTTAAGAGTCACTTTTGGAATGCCCGTGTCTCACCCCTTCAGTGTCTGGAGTACACAGGGGACACACAGAAGTTGAGAGTGGGGAGAACCACGGGGGTGGGAGAAGGTAAGACATAGATGTACAAAAGTTCTGGCATTCAAACAGGGCAATTTTTGGTTAAGTTCTCAATCTTGCTCCCAGCTCAAGGATCCAGAGTTCTCACATAAATGGCCCAAAGAAATAGATCTGATACTGAAATGTAGGATACACCGAGTGTTGTATTGCTCACCCTGAACCTTAAAAGTTTTACTGTGTTCATAGCTTTGAAAACATCATGGTTTGTACTGCCATAATGCTACCATAAGGTCCTCTCTCCTCTTCTTCTTGTAGTTCT